TTTAAGTGTTCTCTCTTTGTTCTGTACATTTAGTGTTTTTACTATGATATGTTGTGGGGAGTTTCTTTTCTGATCTTGTCTATTTTGTGTTCTATGTGCTTCCTGTATTTGTATGGGGGATGTCTTTCTTTAATTTCAGGAACTTCTCCTCTACAATCCTGTTTAAGAGCTGGTCAACATTATTAACCTGAAATTGTTCTCCTTCCTCTCTTCCTTTGATATGTAGATTTGGTCTTTTCCTGGTGTCCCACATCTCTTACATATTCTGTCCCTGTGTTTTTTTTTAATTTTCCATAATCTTTGCTTGAGTGGTCCAATTGTTCAACTTTACCCTCCATTGTTGATATTCTCTTTTCCATTCCATTCACTCTAGAGGTGAGGCTTTTCCCTGTTGTTTCAAGTTGGCTTATTGAGTTTTATACTTCCTTCTTCATTTCTGCCTGAGTTTTCTTCAATGTTTCTCTTTTGTGAATTCATTCAGAAGTTTATCCCTATCTTCTTTTAGTTCTTTGATTTGTTTGTTCATGTGTTCTTTAAATTCGTTGAATTCCTTGATCATGTTTATGATTGTTCTTTTAAATTCAGTGTCCCAGGTTATCTCTGGGGTGGGGGGGTCTCCCTGTAGAACTCTTCTACAGGACTGGTGGAATTTGGTGGGGACATAGTGTTTTGGTTTTCCATTTTATTATTCTTTCGTTGTAATTTTGCCATGTGAATTTCTTCTGTTGTTTATGATTCTGATATGAGAATTAAGTTGAAGTATGCTTCTGTTTGTATTATCAGGGTGCCCAAGTCCTTTCCTTATTGGTTATATAAAGCTGGTTTGGTACAGGTTTCAGATTCTCTCAGGTCTTATTTTGGAGGGAACTGATGGCTTCAGATCAGGTATTCAGGAGCACGCACAGAAGCCCAAGTCAGGATCCAGTCAGGTACACTCAGGCTTCCTTCTAAGGTTTGGATCCCACCACATGGAGGCAGGATCCGGGCACTCCAATACTACATCTTTTTTTAAAAAAGATTTAAAAATATACTTATTTTTGAAATTGTGTGTGTGTATGTGTGTGTGTGTGTGTGTGTGTGTGTGTGTGTGTGTGTATAAAGTGCATGTGTGTGAGTGCAGCTACACAGGGATGCCAGAGAAGTCAGATCCCCTGGACCTGGAGTTACAGCAGCTGTGAGCTGCTCAAACGTAGGTGCTGGGAACTGAGCTCTGGTCCTCTGTAAGAGCAGTACGTGCTCTTAACTATTAAGCCATCTCTCCAGCCCCCAAGATTACATTTTTACCTTCACTATTCTCTAACTGAAATTCAGCATTTTTTTCCATGAAGAATCTGAGTAACAAACCTGAGCACTCTACAATTAAGCTACCTCTCCAGCCGTCTTTTCACTTTTTACTTTGAAACAAATCTGAGCAGTGAAAGTTAGCTATTGTTGTGACTTTGTTACCAAATGAAATCCCATTATGTGTTTTTAACTGCTGAGTCATCTTCTAGCTCCTTGATAACTGTATTTCAGTTTTCTTTGCAATCCATGTATGATACACATTTACACACATCCCTCAGAGTACATGTCAAACTAAACTGGACACGGCTGAATTGGCCCTACGGATTGCACTGATGTCAGGCTCCTGGGTTTTAGATTATACTATAGTCGTGCAAAATGTTATCAGTGGGGGACCTGGATGAAAGACACACCTTTATCTCACCCTGTACACTGTAGGAGTAACTTCTTGTGAAACTATAATGACTTAAAAATCAACCCAAGAAGGGGTCCCTGGGCTTTACCAGATTGCCAAAGGGGACCATAGCTTCTGTGGAGGCAGGAGGCTTCTATGAGAATGCCCACTTGTACCTGTTTGCCCTCAGTGCTGTTCTGCATCTGGACTGACTAATGAAGGGTATACACATCCATCCCAGCACAGACACACAAAAAATCCTACATACACATGAGTACTCACCAGAGAGGGTGTCTGATAAAAAATTTTCTCAACGAGTTCATAATCACTGCTAAAGGTTTCAGACACAGCAAGGGTAGGGAATAGCCCACCTCTTTGGTCTCCTCAAAAATCTCTGTTCCCTTTCCCCACACCTGATCAGTTCTTCCATTACAAGTACTATTAATTGGGATTTCAACAAATTTCCTAGCTTGCATTTAAACTTTTTATAGACTTGAGTTTGGGGTACTTTTTGCTGTTGCTTGGGTTTTGCTATGTTTGTTTGTTTTTCAGTGTTGGAGATTCAACCTGGAGAATTCACATGCTGGGCAAGCACTCTACAATTAAGCTACCTCTCCAGCCGTCTTTTTACTTTTTACTTTGAAACAGGATCTCACTAAGTTACCCAGGAGGGCCCCGAACTTTTGATCCTCCTGCCTCATTCAGCTTCCTTATTTACGCTCCAGCTTTTCTCTTAAAAAGAAATGAAATCTAGTGTAATTCATGAAAAAAAAGAGTACTCACTGGAACCTGATGGTAGCATGCTCTAGATAGTAGATGTCAAAGAGCCAGCGTAAAAACACGTTCAAACTAGAAGGAAGAACAAAATCTGCCCTTTAGTTAAGGTGTCCTAGGCTAAGGCCGAGAGCTCAATTCCTCTTTGCCTGGCTTCTTTCCATCCTCCCTTGTCAATCCTAAGTCCCTTGCTTGATCCTAGCTGGCCATTCACAATACTCTCTTTCATCTTAATGCCAGGTCATCCCTGTCCCTAGCCCTCTGACATTCCAGGGTCACTTTCTACAACAAATCTTTACCAGCCACCTCTCCCAAGTGTCTCTCGCCTCTCAGTCTCCCTCTCACATTGTTTGCGTTCTTCCTCCTTGGGCTGTCAGTCTACTGTCTGAGACACCTTGAATCCCTAGCTGACACTTTATAGTTTGCATGATCCCTGGCTCAAGCTATGCCCATGACAGTCAGGGGACTATCATTTGAGGTGCAGGTTTGTAGTAACCACAGGAGGCCCAAAGTATCTGAAAGAGGAGGTTTATGCTCTAGGCTGAGGCTGACTGAAAGAGGAGAAAACTGTAAGTGAGGTACCTGGTCAGCCCCATGGAGGGCAGAATTACCACCATGAACACTAGAAAGATGTAGCATTTGTGCACCATGATCAGATTTTGACTTGATCTAGAAGGAAATGAAGAGAAATGTTCGATGGAATAAGAACCAAAGATCTAACTACATAAGACAGAGAGGGAAAGGGAAAGGGGAAAAAAGAGAGGAGAGGAGAGAAGCTAGCTGGACAGGGAAACTGCTCAGTGGTTCAGTCCAGTGCCTTCTCCACGGAGGACTGTGAGCTGTGCTATATCTGTGAGCAGCAGGAAGAACAGTATAATAACTAATAATGTCTGTCCTGGGCACAGGAAGGAAAAGGAAGGCATATGTAGGCCACATATATATATCTGACATCTCTGTATCAAAGACCTATTACCAATGATACTCAAATCTCTGCAGAATTTCAACAATCAATTTGAGCTTTGTCTTTGGCTAGAGGATAGGCCAGTAAGGATTTCCAGTAGGACCCTCTGACTTACCACCTGCTAAAATGGTAGAAAATCACTTTTGATACCTGTTGTAGACATTTGATCAAGGCAGGGCCTTTGCTGATACATTCTACCAATTACCTACCAGCATAGCAGTATTAGCACTAACAAACAGAACATCTGGTTTTGACAAGGTTGGTGCTATATGGGCCTAGTCCTGCCTTTCCACCTCTAGCTTGGCCAAATGTGCCAAGGTCAGAGTGAATTCCTGGTTTCCTGCTGTGGCCTTGGTTGCTTACCTGACATTCTGCGGCCAAGTCTTTTCATCCCATGCCTGCTGCCTAGAATCTCTGGTACTCATGGATATAGCTCTGTCACCTCAGTGTGGGCTGAAGACTGAGGGAGCAACCCCAAGAGGGTTTGGTTTGGGCCTACTCCTCCTTTAGATAGTAGCCCTAATCAGCATCTCCAAGATCAAGGACATCCAGGAGACAACCCAGCACCTCTCTCCAAAAAGAAAACACTGTTGGTGTTCGGGGATAGTTTCACGTATCAAAGCCATTCCTTATCAGTTTTAATCCTTAGGCCAGATGGAAGGCCGAAGTGCCAAGGGGATGGGGAGGGAGAAGAAGCTAAGGGAAAGATCCAGACAGCAGAGGAGGAGGAGAGGAGCCCCCAGCTCACCTGGTCCAGTGGGCCTCGAGAAAGGCAGAGAAGTAGACCACCAGAGGCATTATCACTGTGAAGGCCCAGAGTATCACGGAAGGGAAGAACTGGGTCACAACTGGGTTCTGGAGGGGCGGAGGGAGGAGGGCAGGGGAGACATCAGTGCAAGAAGCCTCATCCCCTTGCAGGCCACCCTCATTCTCCCTTAGTCCTGCCTCTCCATCTCTAGCTTCATCAAGAACAGACCTGCTTTCCCTGAGGCTGCACAGTGGGCCTGACTTTCTACAGGTCTGACTTCCTGGACAGAAGTCCACCTAGCTGGAGGATACAAAGGATGACACCCCAAGGTCAAAGGTATCCACCAGGGGCTTCTCTGCTCAAATCACGAGAGAGCCTGCCTGACATTTCCCTAGAGACTTCACTGTATGGCCAAAGCCAGCTTCTCTTATGTTTCGTGACTCAGAAACAATACTGCCTGGACTAAGGAGTGTGAACATGGGGCACCCAGCATGTGTATGGTCTGGGCCTAATATAGAGTTGAGATAGGGAGCAAAAGTGGTGTGTTCATATGTATGTGTGTCTATCTGTATGTGTCTATGTCTATGTGTGCTCTATGTGCAAGTGTGCTCTATGTGCATGTGTGTGTGTGCACGCGTGTTTCTGGGAATAGAGAAGAGATACTCCGGAGGGAGGAGCCTTCTAACTCATTAGAAGGACACAGGATTTGAGGAACTGAGCCAGTGCTTCTGCGGTGCTCCCCTGAGAATAGGTGTCCTCGAGTCGCAGTGAATGCTCCGACAGAGCTGGGGCTGCAGGCGTCAGGAGGGGAGGGAGGCAGATATGAAGCTCAAGGTCCCACTTCTCTCCATAAGCTGTGTTGGGGCCTACCTCACTCTTCCTTATCCTCTACCCTACCATGAAATTTTACTCTGGGAAGCTTGAGGGAGAACAGAACTGTTTACACCTTCCTCACCCTCCAAACCCCACAACTGGCCTAGAGTGACCTGATGTAACAGTGCCCTGTAAGCCCACCTTGATTGGACCACTCATTCCCCAACTCAGTCAAGGACCTGCCTACAGCTCCTCTAACTCTCCCTTTCCTCTCCATTCTGTCCCTGGATAGACTGTCCCATGGGCAATGGCCTACATTTGCCCCAGTTAGAATTCAGGACATTCTGCCTGTGACACCACCCCACTATGTTGGTGCTGTAAAGACTCTGCAGCCCCGTCCTAAGGGGTGCCCCTCCCATCCTCGCCTGAGTTCTTCCTTGATATCCCTGGGGCCCCCAGGCCTGGCCTGAGCAGAGGAGGCACCTGCAGCTTCTCGATGGGGCGGGTGACGTTGTACATGTCGATGGTGTTGATGATGATGGCAGGCGTGGTGAGAAAGAAGAAGAGGAAGAAGAGGAAGGTGTTGATTGCAATAAAGCGGGCCCACCAACTGAATCGGCGGATGGACAAGTGTTTCCTAGGGAGGGAGGAGAGGGGTATACTTAGGCCAGGCCTCAGTATACAAACACACACACACACACACACACACACACACACACACACACAGAGAGAGAGAGAGAGAGAGAGAGAGAGAGAGAGAGAGTTCTTTCCTGCATGCTAGCTGTGGTCCTGGACCTACATGACACCATTTGTAAAAGTTCAGAATATATCTCTTAGACAAACAAGAAACTACAGGAAAAACTTTCCTCAAGGTTGGTGCCTTCCATTCATATGGTGAAGGTGAGTGTAGGGGTTAGTAGAAGCTGTGGTATTCAGAAAGTACGTGGTACAGTCCAGGAGGGGCTGGATTTGTTCAGTTCTGGGTCTGGTCCCCAGGAGCTCTCTGTTGAGCAATTAAGTGGAGGGAGGAGGGCCTGTCCTATAGCCTTTTTCAGTCTCAGAGAGGAGGCTTACCAGATGATGTCTCTGGGGTGAGGGGCATGAGAGACCCTCCAGTGGTAGTTTTTGACGATGGTAGTCACAGAGGACTGCTGGGGACTTGCACCACAATACAAGAACTTGTAATCCTCATAGACTCTGCAGAGGGAGGATAGGAAAGAACAGAGGTCTGGGGTGGGAGGAGGGCTTCAGAGGGTCATGTGCCAGAGTCCCAGGGTCAGTGTGGCAGTCCCATCATTGGAGATACTCCATTTCTTGGGGATTCTTGAAGCCTTGGATAGGTCTCCCAGGACCTTAGAAATGGACAATTCCCAAGGCACATTATCTGGAGAGAAGGGGCATTGAAGTCAGGTGTCTAGACTTCCAGGAAGAATAACGAACCACAGGGTGCTTAGCTCCTGCCCTCTCTTCACAGTGGTGACAATGCACAGATAAGCTTATCTTTTTAAAAATTCATTTTTATTTCACTTGTGTGATTTGCCTGCATGTATGTACATGTACCACATGCATGCAATGCCCCTGGAGGCCAGAAGAAGGCAATGGATCTCCTGGAACTGGAGTTAGATGGTTGCTAGTCACCATGGGTGCTGGGAACTGAACCCAGGTCCTTTGAAAAAACAGCAAATACTCTTAACCACCGAGCCATCTCTCCAACCTTGAGTTTGTCTTTTGAGGTTATAGGAAGGTGTTGACATCAACTCATGTCAGTGTCAGTAGCTCCAGAGTTTGGGGTTCTTTTCTGTGACCTGGACTGTGCTTTCTGGTGAGGAATAGTATCTTAGCTGCACAGATTCCTAAATTAAGATGCCTTGAGATGCAACTGCAGAAGAGTGCATGCTGGCACTAGAGCCCTTGGTCTTCTGACTCATACTCTGCTGTAATTAAGCCTTGGGTCCTCTCTACCAACTGGTGACATCTCAAGAAATGAATAGTAGTACTGTCTTGTGTAGGGTTATTGCTTTATATAATACACACATGGATAGGCTCTTATGTCCCTTGTCAACCCCTTGGGTGGTGAACTGGACAGAAATCAGTAACCAAATTGGACAGATAAGAAGTTTAAGAGTATAAGTGACTTGGCAATTGTGCATCATTGTGACTAAATTCTAGGCTGTTCTATCCTTTTGTAGAGTTGGGGTGGATGAGGACACTCTATGTAGTGCCCAGGCATTATCAGGTCCCACCAGGAGAGGTGGGGCCTGCAATCCTTTAGAGACCAATTGTGCAATTTCCATCCATTTAGCCCAGTCCTAAGGATCTTTCCAGATTATTCCAAAGTAGACTGAATTCACTCTCTATTGAGATAAGACTGCTAGAGCCTGGGGCAGAAAAGAGTAGAGGCCTTATGGGAAGGCCTCCAGCTGAAAGGAAGAAAAGTCAGGCAGGGCTTCTATCTCCTGATTTTCTCCCTTGTGGGAGGAGAGGGATGACGCACATGCAATGAGGGCAAAATGGTTCTCATTCTTGTCAAGGGGTCAAAAGCTATGCTGACCACCCCTGTACTCAGGCAAGAACATGGAGTGAGGAACATTCCTGGAGAGCACTTGAGGTCCAGCAGCTGGGAAAAGTACAACCAAGCCAAGGGCAGCAACATAGCAGCTGCCAGAGAGGAGTGGTGGGGAGAGCCCAGGTCAGAACATGGCAGCTGGAGGGAGGCTTGCTCCCCTTCTCCCCCGAGCTGAATGGGGGTGAGAGGGTGGGGCCCAAGGAGCAGAAGCCCACCCTGGGACTGTCCCAGCACTCACCGATGTGCCATCCTAGCGTCCTGGAAGGTGACGAAGATTAGGTCAAGGCGCTTCAGCCGAACACGGTTGAGTTCAGCATTGAACTCATCAGTCAGCTGCTCCTCCAGCTCACTGTAATACTGCTCCGCGTCTACCTGGAGCGAGAGGAGGCCTTTAGAGCTGGAGTGGTCAGGACCAAGGAGGCATTGCTGGGCCCCAGGGCGCTCTCGTGCAGCAGTCCCACTGCCAGAATAGTCATAGGCTAACTGGAATCCCTTAGATCTGGGGACATGGAAGCACTGTGGGGATAGGGGGTGCTTCATACCTGGGTGAACTTCAGAGACAACAGAATGTACAGTTATGTCACGGGGTGGGACTCTTCTTTTGGTCTGGCTGAAACAGGACTACCTGAGACCCCTCTAGCCACAGTGGTCAGGGGACAAGATGGAGCCTGTTGCTTTCACTCATTCCTACCCTACGACTTTGGTAGCCTGAGCTTGGCAGCCTACTGCAGTTTGCTGTGTTCCCTCTGGTCCATCTGGCCAGCACTAGAAAGCAGAGAAGAAGCAAGCTCCCATGGTTGCCCTGGAGGGGAACCCAAGCAAGTTTGAGCTCCTCTATATCTCTGCAAGGACACGGTATGGTAGAGAGTGAGTGGGGAGACACATTCTGGAGGACCAAGACAGACTTGAATGGGCCCTAGGGATGAGGATGCAGGCAAGGGACCAGCCTGGAGCCCAGCTCCCCAACCTCTTTCCTGCTGTTCCCAACACTCCTGCCAGTTACCTCCTTGAAGCAGGTCCAGCACTTGCAGAAGCACAGGCGAGAGCAGGGGTGGGTCTTGATCATCGACTTCCCAGTCTTCTTGGCCTTGGCTGTGTAGTAGAGCCGGCCCCGCATGGCATGGCGTCTGTCAGTAATGGGCAACAGAGGGAAGAGACTCTAGTTAGACCCACAGAGAGAGCCCCATTCACTTCTTGTGCCTCGACCCCAGATGCCAGTAGGCCTCTCTGTGATCTCACCTTTGATCGTCCAAGTCGATTAGGTTCCTGACGTCATAGCAGAAGTGGACTCTGGTCACCACACACCCCGGATAGGCCTCACTGCAGCCACAAACACGGATGCTGAACCAACCTGCAGGACTAGGTTGGGCCACCTCACTCTCTTGCCTAATGTGACAGTCCACAGGGATGGGGGTGGGGGCTCAGCTGATTGGAGTTCCTGCCTCTCAGGACAGCATCCATCCTTGCTCCTAGGGCTGAGTCACCTTCAGAGTTTGAACCCTGGTCATCTTCTGAGACTTACTATATCCTTTATAAATGATTCTGAACAAGGACGACACAGAGCTCCAAACTTTGGGGGCCCAGGAAGGAACTACTCCTGAGGATAATGAACAGTGTCCCTGGGGCCAGGGACTTGGGGCCACCAAAGAAACCTGGAGATGCTGAGCCCAAAACAGCTGCAGAGCAGGGTCTCTCTGGGCTAAGTAGCTAAAGTCACATGAAAAAGAGTGGCATCTCCTGCCTTTCACCTACGCCATAAAGGGGCTTCAGAGCGCTACTGAAGCCTTGGTGGCCCTCTCTATTCTTAAAAACTGATCCTGGACTGAGTCTAGAGAGGACCACTACCAGAGATGTCCCTGGCCCCACCATTCCATGTCATATGACATATGAGAATGAAGGAGAGGATACTTGAGGGAGAGGATGCTCACCTCAGCCCATCCACTCACTTACTGGAAGTGCTTGCTGATGATCTCCGGGTCTTGGATTTCAGTGGGCACATAGGTGATCATCAGTGTCCTCGTGATCTGGAGTTAGGGGCCAGAGTGAGAGGGCTGTGTTTGCATGGGAATACTAGATATCTCAGTTCCTTAGTAGCCCAGAACCCCTGGGCCACTATACTGCATGATTCCCAGGGCATCCCTGCTGAGCAGGCCATGTGCCAGTGTCCCATAGCTCTGAGGTCAGCAAACCAGGTCTCAGTTATTCTCTGTGCCCCAGCTGTGGACTCCAGCTAGACAGCTGAGGTTAGGAAGGGAGAGTCAGGGCCAAGGTGGAGGACCACAGTTCTGTGACTGGAAAGGGCTGCGCATGCCGCCTTGCAAAAGCCCCCAAGGACTTTTGGTCTTCTTGAAATTCCCACCTTTCCATTGTAAAACCTCATGTCAGAGAAATCTCTAATATTCTATGGGGCCAGGATCTGGAAAAGTGCTATTGTCTCAATCTGGAATGTTTCCCAAAGGTCCAAATGTTAAATGCTTAATGCTATGGGGACAAGAGATGAGGACCTCAGTATGTGCTAACAAGGAAAACTGGAATAGCTGAGTTCAGACTGGTTGGGGTATGCCTGCCTCCATACTGTACCTGCTGGCTGAAGCGCTTGCAGTGGCTTCAGGTGTGTGGATTCACACTCTGGGATGGGTTAAAGTGAATGAGTCCTTTAGATTAGGTAGACTTGAAGAAATAGATCCCACTCTACTGAACGATGACAGGCTGAGGATGGAGCCATGGATGCTCATTCTCTGGGTGCCCTTCCCCACAGAACATGGACTGCCCAAAGGCCCCACACCACAGCCCCTCAGAGTTCATCTCTGCACACCAGAGGCTATGTCCGGCCTCAAACACTGAGATTGGATTCACACATACACATAAGCACCTCTCTCTCTCTCTCTCTCTCTCTCTCTCTCACACACACACACACACACACACACACACACATAAAAGCATATAACACACATTTTAAAACAAGCAACCATATGAATAAAATACAAGGAGAGATGACGACTTTAAGTTCCCAAATACAGCCCTCAATGCTTGACTGGGGAAATTCTAGGGCACACATTTGAAACCAGTTCCTGGGATTCCTGGGGCTGCAGAGATAGAGGATGAGAGGCAGCCATGAGCAGCTACTTACCAGCCACTGTGAGGAGTTTCCATGGCTTAACAAGAGGGATGACATTGCAAGGGAATTGGGAGGAAGGGTACGCAGGGGGAAGCAAACTGGGGATGCTTCCTGCTCAGGGGAGACTCCTGTCGGGGTAGGGCCCAAGCTGGCACTTTTGTAAGGGTGGGGAGATGGTCCAGCTAGGGAGGGGACCCTTCACATACTCACCTTGAGGTTCTTCTTGGGCACAAATCCCAAGCAGTGATGAGCCATGTTGGCAAAGTTGATGAGGAAGTACAAGAAAGCAAAGAAGCTGTGCAGCCACAGGAGTTTACTCCTGCCGGGGGAGCAAAATGTGAGACCCTACAGGGTCACTGCACACCCATCACACCCTCAGTATCCCCAGCCACTGCCCCCCCACTACTATTACAGACTCCTCTTTACCACCACTGGGCTTCCAGTGGACTGGATCTAGGATGGGACTAAACCCTTTGTCCACATGTTCCCACTAGTGCCCCAGGATGATTCCATGATCCCCCTCATTTCACCCATAAGGAAAGAAGGCCCAGAGCAATGGGGAACCTGCCTAAGGTCACTGAGAGAGGAACCAGAGCTGCCCAATGCATATGGATATCCATATCAGCCCCAGAGAAGAGGTACTGGGCCATATGCCGGGGGAGGGCCAGGCAATTTCACTTCCCTAGGGCAGGAGGGTTGGTGGCCCTTGGGACATGTTTCCACCCTTGCATTTAGCTCACAGGATTGGGCTGTCTCGAGGCAATTGGCCAGAATTACTATTTGGAAGCAGGGCCTGTCTGGGTGGTGTGGCTTGGAGAGCAAGGCTGCCTTGCTCTTTCCTGTCCTAGTGCTTGACCTGACACAGGCCTCTGCCCACCTAAGCCCACCTAAGTCTGGCTGTTCAGATTCTGCATATGATCAAGGGCAGTTTCTTTAAGGAACATTCCGTTTCTATGCAGTGTGGACTCTTGCACACTGAAGGCCCTCTGCTGCTCTTTGGGAGTCTGCTTCCTAAGAAGGGGCAGGGCCACCTCACAATGACAGGCCTAGGTAGGCCCTGGTGACTCTCCTCCAGCTGGCAGCACTGAGGCAGGTGGGACTGGTAGAGGAGGGGAGAGGATGCTATGACTACATTCTGCTGATCAGAAAGTTCTGGCAAAGCTAGTTTGCTCCAAGGCCTATAGCAGGAGAATAGAGATGAGGGGTATGGGTGTCAGACCTCACTCATGCCTGAGGAAATTATTTCTATTAGTCAAAAGGTAGGCCAAGCCTTTCCAGGCTTCTTAGTGGGCCTCTGTATGGACCTGAGGAACAGGCATATCTGACTCAGTAGAGGGTGAGCTGGCCACTAATCAAGTTGGCTGATGTTGAAACCAAACCACAGGTTCCTGGCCTGGAATGGGAGAGGACTCAGAAGATCACATCCTACAGTATGAACAAGGACTGAATCTGGGAGAAGGGGATGCTCTAGACTCAGAGCCAGTGAATGGCCGAGATGAAGCTGAACCTACCATCCTTTGATTCCTTTGTCCTGCTATGAACATAAAAAGAGTGGCCTGGCAGGTCTGTGATTCACTAGATTATATAAGTGCTGACTTGAACCCAGGGTCAGCAGAGAGATCAAAACTTGACTATGCCCCATCCCCACCCTACTACAGGGTCTCTGCCTCTCTGGAGTTTAAGCAAATAGGACCATCTCTCTAGTTCTCAGGAATGGCCAAGATAGGCACTTCATGACAGATGGGGACACTGTGGCACTAAGAGTCCAGCCCCACCTGGAGGATGCAAGTTCTGGCATCCTGCTCAGGGCCTGGATTTCCAGGGATGCCAGGCCTGCCTTCTCAGCACAGAGGTACCTACTCTGGAGACCAATATGTTGGCCCTTCTCTCCCAACCAGGGCCCAGCCAATAGAATGGGAGGGAAGAAGATCAGGTACCTACTCTGTGGAGACATTGACAATGGTAGTCCGACCAAAGTGGCTATTCCAGCCTGAAAGAGAAAAGAAAAGGATAACCTCGAACCTGGATCCTAGACTACTGGGAGTGTAGGTAGGGACAGAATTCTAGGTTCCTGAATACCAAGGGTGAAGAGAAGTTTGTTTAAATCCAGATTTGTCTCCAACTTTCAGCAAAAATATCACCCTCCTGGGAATGCTGTTTGGGACTCAGCTGTGAGACTGAATGTCTACAGGGACTCTACAGAGCATTTGGGAAATCCCCAAACACTTGCTGAGGGAGCCAGCTGGTCATGTAGCCACAGTCAGACTGGCGATGTTAACAACATTGGCCATAGTCCCAACAAGAACCCTAAACTCCAGAAAATCGTTCATTGCCTCATTCGGACCAAGTAGATCCTTCTGGCTATATGTAGTAACCTGTCTGTTCAAACAGCTCCAGGCTCTGAAAAACGTCTAAAATTTCTGCAGGGCACTATCATCGCCCATACCCTAGTGCTTGGGATAGGAATCTGGAAAGATGGGAGCTTAAAGTCATTTACTCTGGTGCCAGAATCTGGGGCACACTCAGTGTGCCCCAGTGAATTCATTAAGGTCCACATCTGGATGAAGGCTAACAGGTCAAACCTGAGGCATGAGATAGAATGGGATGCCACTGGGACATTGAAGGAGCGAGTGCATACCCACCTTCCCATAACTGTACCTCCTGTAATTCTAAGGGAGAGATAGTTGCTGTTTTCTGAGCTCTGAGTATGAGGCACTTAACATGTCTCTCTCCCAGTGCCCAGGACAGTGGAGGAAACAGATACATAAAATTAAATAATTTATTATCTGGGGGGGAAAGTACTTTGTGGGAAGCAGATAGAGGCAAAAGTTGTGGAGCCAGGATTTTTCTGAAAGCCAAGTCCTCACTCACAATGCTAAACTGTCACAGTGAGTGTGGCCAGAAGCACTACAAGACAAATTCTCCATGTACAGCGCTATGTCCACCAGGGTGAGTGCAGGGAGAAGTAGTGGTCGGAGGCCTTTTCAGTGGGCCACACATTTTACGAAGGCACAGGGACTTGTACAAACAGTTCCAGGCTGAACTGATATTCTGTATTTGTGATGCCCCCCCATCCCTGCCACCAGGTCAAGCAAAGTTGTATCATTTCTAGTCTCCACATGACAGAACTGAAGTATGATTTGCCTCAGGTCACATGAAAACTGCCTTCCAAAGAAAGGACTAAAAGCCAGATTTCTAGACCCCTGAGGTCCACCCTTTGTCCAGCCTACTAAGCTGCAGTGGCTTGGGGATTAGAGCTAATTGAGCACTGCCTACTCAGAACAGTTCCAATGTAGTTAATGGGTAAGATGATGCCCAGGGAGGGGATGCAGAGGAGGAGCACATAGATGATAAGATGATACTGGAACGTGATGTAGATGCGCGCATCATCCCCACACTTGTTGATCAGATCCTGGTCCCTGCAAGAGACACAAACAAGAGCATTCCTCAGATATCAGAGTGGCCACTGCTTATGTGCGGGGAGGCAGAGGAAACAGTAGGAAGAGGACCATCTCATCACCAAGTTTTAATTGGGGGGAAGGTATTGCCCATCTTCTCAGTGCCTTGTATGTGCCTGAAGTGCATGTCAGTGAACTGCACAGGTACGTCAGAGAGAGAGAGGCTATGTTAGAGACACCCTCAGGGGAACCTAGAACCCTCATGAATTCAAGCAAACACTCTGAGCTTGCTGTGCTGATGATATTCTGTTGTAAACCCACCTAAAAAGTTCTTTATTTCATTCCTTTAATTCAAAGGCAATACCTGGAAATCACAATGAGGTAACACTCTACACTGCCAGGCTGGCCAAAGTGACAATGACAAATGTTGGTGAGGGCTGGGCACTGGGCACTCTTCTCCACATGGGTTTACATCTGGCCAGTCATGTTGGAAAACAGCTGGCCTTAGCTGCTGAGATTGAATGCATGTACACTCTACAACCTAGCAATTCCACTCCTAGGTTTATATACAACAGAGATAGGACACAGTTTATCAAGAGACTTGGGTAAGAATCTTATAGATGTATGATTTATAACAACCCTGACTGGAAATGACTTTAAAGCCAGCCATGGGGGCCTGTTTACTTGTAAACTTAGCAATTGGGAAGTGGAGGCAGAAGGATCAGGAATTCAAGGTTATGCTCTACTACCTAGTAAGTTTGAAAGCCAGCTTGAGCTACGTGAGACCCTGTCTCAGAAAAAGAAAAAGGGACTGGAGAGATGGCTCAGCAGTTAAAAGTACTGGCTGCTCTTGCAGAGGACCCAGGTTTGGTTCCTAGCACCCACATGGTGACTAACGACTATCCATAACTCCAGTTCCAGGGAATCTGATACCCTCTTCCGACCTCCACAGATATTGCATGCATGGGCACACTCACATACATGCAGGCAAAACATTCATACACATAAAATAAGAATAAATTCTAAAATTAAATTTAAAAAGGCAATCCAAAGGTGAAATGGACCCTGCATATATGCATATATATATATATATATATATATACACAAACCATACATTTTGCTTCTGGCAATGATGAGTGAAAGGCTCCAGGCACAAACGACACTACAAGATTTCGTGTGAGACTTCAAAAACAGAAGAGGGGTTGGGGAGATAGTTCAGTAGTTAAAGGGCTTCTTCCTGTGCAAGTGTGAGGACCAGATTTTGGAGTCCCAGAAACTCACATAAATGCCAGATGGGCATGTGACCCACCTGTAATTCTAGTTTTGGAAGGCACATATGGGATCTATCCCCAGAGCAAACTGCCTCCAAGACTAGTTGTATAGGGAGCTCTGGGTTTGATTGAGTGATCCTGCCTCAATGAATGACAGAAGAAAATCGAGGATGATTCCCAACCTCAACATCCAGCCTCCATATGCATGCAAACACATATGCATGTGCAGTCCCACACATGTGCACCCACACACATGCAAAAACACACATGAACATGCACAGCATGCAATGAAAAAATGGAAAAACAGGAAAAAATAGAATACAGCTAGAAACTAGAACACTTTATTTATTTTATTTTATTTTATTTTATTTTATTTTTTTGGTTTTTTGAGACAGGGTCTTCCTGTAGCCCCAGTTAGCCTGAAACTCACTATGTAGACTAGGCTGGCCTTGAACTCATAGAGATCCACCTGCCTCTGCCTCCTTAGTGCTGGGATTAAAGATGTGTGCCTGGCAAAACCAGAATGCTCTTGAGAGGAGGGAGGGGACAGGGGATTGGCAGAGTGAAGATGGACTTCCAGGGGTGCAATGCTTTAATTCTGAGTCTGAGTGGCAGTGACATAGGCTTGCTTTGTGATAACTCAACTATTTACTTACTTTTGTGCATTTTATGTGTTATACTTCAATTAAAAAGGATAAAAGTAGGGGCTGAGAGATGACTCAGTGGTTAAGAGTATTGTGTCTCCTTTTGTAGAAACATGGGTTTGATTCCCAGCACCCACATGGTGACTAACAACTGTCTGTAACTTCAGTTCCAGGGAATCTAATGCCCTCTTCTGGCCTCTGTGGACACTGCACACACATGGTGCACTTACATCCATGCAGACAAAACACTCATATACATAAAATAAAAATAAATAAATTTAAAAATTATTTTAAAGAATAAAAGTAGATTGGGGATATAGCTCAGGTGGTAGAGTACTTACCTAGAAAACCTTTAGTTCAATCCTGAGTACCTCATAAACCCAGTGTGGTGGTACAAACCTGTAATCCCAGCAGTTGGAAGATGTAGACAGAAGGATCAGGAGTTCAAGATCATCCTAGTCTATATAATGAGTTCAAGGCCACCCTGGGCTACACAAGACCCTGTTCCAAAACAACAACAAAGCAAACAACAACAACAAAAAATATAAAAGCAAAATATATGCTCACAGAAACTTTGGAAACTGTAAGAGAAGAAAATAACTCTCCTATAATTCATCAAACCTAAGATAATTTTTTTTTTATCTTTTTGAGACAGGGTCTCCCTGTAGCCCCAGCTGGCCTGGAATTCAATATGTAGACCAAGTTGGCCTTGAACTCACAGAGATCTGCTGGTCTCTGCCTCCCAAGTGCTGGGACTAAAGGCGTGTGTCACCACGCCCAGCTAACCTAAGGTAATTTTCAATCTTTATTTTTATTTATGCAAGTGTGTGTGTGTGTGTGTGTGTGTGTGCATGCCTGAGTTTATGTACACCATATGTGAGCAGGTGGTCATAGAGACCAGAAGGCATAAGATCCTGTGGAACTGGAGTTACAGGTGGTTGTGAGCTGCCTGATGTGGGCTTGGGAACCAAATCCAGGTCCTCTGTAGGAGCAGTAAGTACTCTTAACTGCTAAGCCATTTCTCCAGCCTTAAGATGATGTTTAATTAAACATTCTGATTAATTTCCTTTAGTTTTTGTGCTAGATTTTCTTAATGTCTAAGGTTTGAAGATGGTTTACCCCCTCAAAATACAAGGTGGGGTTTGGTGTTCTCTGTGAAGTATGAAGAGGGTGGAAACTTAATCCTATGGTGTTAGAGGTGGGGCCTTAGGAGTAAATATGGTCTTCAGGGTGAACGATAATGCATATGGGTTGAAAAGAGCTAGATGATAAGGGCTGGAGAGATGGCTTCATGTTTAAGAGCACTGGCTGCTCTTCCAGACTACTGGGGTTTAGTTCCCAGCACCCACATAGTAAACTAACAACTATCTGCAACTCCAGTTCCAGGAGATCCAATGCCCTCTTCTGATCTCTGCTGGTACTGTATGTGTGGGTACACTTACATGCAGGTAAAACACTCATCTGCATAAAATTTTTTTAAATGTATTTTTTAAAAAGGATCTTTAAAAAATGGTAAAAGAAACCACAAGCCAGTCATGGTGGCAGAGGCAGGTGGATCTATGTGAGATCAAAGCCAACATGGTATACATAATGAATTTCAGTCCAGCTGGGGCAACAAGGAGACCCCCCCCAAAAGGCTGGGTGTGATGGTACATGTCTTTAATCACAGTGCTTGGGAGGCAGAGGCAGGCAGATCTTTGTGAGTTCAAGGCCAGCCTGGTCTACATAAGAGTTCCAGGCCAGCTGGGGCTATAGGGAGATGCTGTCTCAAAAGCTGAGAGAGAGAGAGAGAGAGAGAGAGAGAGAGAGAGAGAGAGAGAGGGAGAGAGAGAGATCACAAGACACATACATGTGCGTGGGCATGTACATGACAACACACATACAATGCTTCCTGCCTCTTGCCATGTAATGGTCTGCACAGCCTTGGGATTCTGCTAGGAAGGTCATCTCCAGAAACAGCCCATTGCCCCTGCCCCTTGGACCAGATCTAGGAGATGAAACAAATTTCTTTCTTTGTAATTCAGTCTGTGCTGTTATGTTATCAGCAACAGAAAACAGACAGGGACTGTAATGGTAGTTGTGTGCCGCTCTTCTTTTGTTTGGTATTTATCCTGAAGCTTTCTCTATTCATCTTCCATAATGGTGGCAGTAGCTTACACTTACAGAGCACTTGTCATGACCAGCTTGTGGTCTCCCACCCCATAGTTTTCCCCCTCTGGGTAGACTTATTGGCTCTCTTCAACTTCTAGCATCTAGTGCAGGATTCAGATTTTTCAATTATGAACAAAAACACATCTCAGGGTTTTAATATCTCAATTTAGGGACTTACTGAGGACTCTTGATTTTCTATTTATGAGCAGCTAAAACATTTCCTTGCCATAGACTTGAGAATTCAGTCCCAAGAATGGGGTCTATGAGAACTGGGGACATGTCTTGCTTCAGGCTTGAGATGCCAAATCTGATCTTGTGACAGAAAACCATTTCTGTGCTGTGTATATGGTGGGGGTGGGTTCCCAGAGAGCCTCCATACAGGCAGAAAGAGTGGAGGGCTAGATTGGACAGAGACTACAAGAATCTCCTTCCTGGACAGAGACTATAAGACTCTCTTTCCTTGCTTAGGAATACTGCCTCTAACTTGGGGAACATTTTTCCATCCTGCCATCTTTATAGCACCCCCTGATATGCCTTTCCATCCCTTTCTCTTAGGCACAGTTAATCCTCCCTTCCCCCCATGTTTCAGAAGACATCCTATCTCTTCTCTTTTCTCACCTCTAACATTTCTCTCGCTCTCTCTCTCGCTCCATCCACCCACACCTTCTCCTTAAACTCCAACTAGGTTTAAATGTGTGTGTTGGTTACTCTAAACTAAATCAAGCAACTCCTCAAGTGTCACCTCTGCCCTATTTTCCCTTAAGGTCTTTCTAATATCTTATTTCCTTCCTCCCTCTTGAAAAATGAACTCTGTTCTGTTTCTTTCTTGGATATCTGTTTATCTTAGAAATGACCTCTCAATGGAGACTCAAATAGCCAAGCCAATGAACTCTCATGGAGGTTGCCAGCTCCACCTCCATGGATCTTGTTCTTGTTGGAGCTTCTGTGACCCCACACCTTACAAGAGTACCCTTCCTCGTCCTCTTTCAGTGAGGTTTTCCCTGGGCCTTTGCTGATCCTGCCTCTTAGGTGACCCATCTATTCCTGTCACTTCAACTGCAGCCTCTAAGAACGCATCTGCCAAGTTTAAATCCCCTGCTCTGATCCTTCTCCTAAGCTTTAATCTTGTTGTTTCAACAGCTGATTATTCAGCTCACACACTTGCTTGAGCCATGTGTCATCATCTCATGTTTCCTCTCCTACCCTCTGGCTTTACTCTTCTCCCAGAAACCAGATCTCATTTTCTTTCTCCCTGTAAACCAGGCCATGACTTTATTGACTATAGCCCCATGATCCTGCTGGTTCCCCCATAGTTTCCCTGATTACTTCCCCAATTCAGGTCACTGCCATCTCCCACCTGGACACAGATATAGTCACTCACCTTGACTTTGAACTTTGTCAGTTGCCATTCACCCTAACATTCTTACTACAAAGAGATATATGCTGGATTTCCTGCTCAAAACCAGTGAATGCTCTCCACTGCCTCTGGGTCAAGGCCCAAGATTCTCTGTATGCAGGCACAGTCCCAACTGACCCTTCTGGAATACTCTTTCACCGCCTCTTCTTATGATGAAGCCCTGCTTCTAGTTACTCCAGAAAATTCACCATTTCTTGACTCTGTCCTAAACATTTGCTCACACAGTCCTTTATTGTTGATGTGTCCTCTGTACCACTCCCATTGAGATTCTTCTGTCTTTTAAAGCCCAGCTCAAAACTACACTTTTCCTAAACCCTCTTGGTGAGATTTCCTTCTCTTTTTCCCAAGTACCCTTTGCAGAGAAAACTATATCCCACCCAGGATGAAGGATATGTAGAGTCTTTTTGGCCTTTGTCTCTCCAAGCAGACTGAACAGGGGTTGTGCATGGAGACTGGCTGACTTGTCTCTGCTTAGTGACATGTCTATGGCACTGCTCCAATGGGGTGCTCAAAACAGAGCTTTCACAATGGCCTTACCATTGACCTGCAGGTACAGCTACACACACACCAACAGCCATGCACACAGATGTGTAATAGCATAGTGACCTGAATCTTCTACAATCACAAATACTACAGAGACACCTGCCATGTGTATCTGGATTACCTTGGTGTGTGGGCTTATCTGAGAGGGATTATCTTCCTTACATTAATTGAAGTGGGAAGACCTGCCCACTGTAAGTGGCACCATTCCCTAGGCAGGAGGTCCTGGATGTATAGGAATGGAGAAAGCAAGCTGAGGACTAGCATGCATGCATTAACTCATTGCTTTCTGTGAACTTAATAGGCCTATTTTCTTTGTAAAGTTACCCAGTTTGAAGTATTTCATTATAGTACTGAGAAACAGACTAATGTACATTATTGGTTAAAATACAAAAGCAAGCTGGACCTGATAGTGGAAACCTGTAATCCCAATACTAGGAGGCTGAAGCAGGAAGATAACAAGTTGAAAACCAACCTGGGTTACATAGTGAGACCCTATTTCAAGAAAAATACATACATACATACATACATACATACATACATACATCATACATACATGTGTGTGTGTGTGTTTATATAAAATACCGAGGTTGCTTCTATGGAAGACTGATTGTGGCTTAAAAAAATATGTTTGTACTGGTTTGTGCTTGTTTAATAAATTAACAAAGCAAAACCAGAGAGGAAGTGAAGAAATCTGAAAGACTGCCCACTAGTGCCCACCTGTGGCTCATAGAGGCCTTTGACACACAAAGGAATGCTTCACTTCCTGGAGACTGTGGTGAGGGAGGCTCTCTGTGCCTCCCGGATCCCAGGTGCCTTCATTGCTCCTTGGGGTGGGTCTCAAAAAGGGCTAACTAGGAATGGTGGGTTTGGAGACACATGAAACCTAGCAGCCTTTGCAGAGAAGCATACTAGCAGGGCCGCTCAGACCACTAGTGCCCATGGCTGCTGAGAAGTGGTAAGGGAGGCTACATCCTGTACAGCATGTGTCACCAGGCAAGAAAAGACCCTGGAGGAGGAGCAGGCAGGACAGATGGGCAATCTTCAGGGAGAGCCCAGGATTATACATGACTCTGAGCATGGGCAGGGTAAAGCTATTCACATGCATGCATGGGTGTATGCTCATATGTATGCATGAGTATGTGTGTGTGTATATATATATATGTATATATGCATGTACATGACTGTACTTGCCTGTGTGCATGAATGCATATGCCTATATGTATGAGGAACATGAGTATACATACCTGCATGTGTGAGTACAAATGAGTATAGATGTCTGTATGTATGAGTATACATGCTTGTGTGCATGAGTGTATAAGATTGTGTGCATGCATGTACATGCCTATATGTATGAGGTACATGAATGTGCATGCCCGTATGTATGAGGTACATAAGTATAACCTGCTTGTGTTCATGAGTATGTATGAGCGTATATGACTGTATGCATGAGAATGCATAAGTGTAAATACCTGTACATGCCTGTATGTATGAATGTGCATGAATAGAAATGCCTGTGTACATGAGTATACATGAATGTAAATGCCTGTATGTAGGAGGTACATGAGTATATGTGCCTGTGTGCATGAGTGTACACAAGTGTATATGTGTGCATGAATGTACATGCCAATGTACATGAGTGTACATAAGTATACATGTCTATGTATGTGAGTATACATGCCTGTGTGCATGAGTGTACATGTCTGTATCATGAGGTTCACAAATATGCATGCCTGGGAGCATGAACGTGCATGAGTGTACCTGACTGTGTATAAGTCATGTATAAGTGAGTATAAGTGAAAATGCCTGTGTGTCTGAGTGTTCATGAGTGTACATGCCTATAAGTGTGCATGAGTGTAGATGCCTGTATGTCTGAGTGTGGATGAGTGTACATGTTTGTGTGAATGACTGTTCATGAGTGTGAATGCCTATATGAATAAGTGTGTATAAGTGAAAATGTTTGTGTGTATGAGTGTTCATGAGTGTATATACCTGTACATCTAAGTGTGCATGAGTATACATGCCTGTGTGCATGAGTGCAGTTGCCTATATGCGTGAGTGTGCATACATACACATGCCTGTATTTATGAGGTGCATAAGTATACATGCCTATGAGCATGAGTGTGTATGAGTGTACATGCCTGTGTACATGCACAAATGTACATGCCTGTATGCATGAATGTGCATGTGTGTGCCTGCCTGACCCTGCACTGAGGGCATAGCCATGGCCCATTCTAGGAAATGTCTGCTCAGCTGAAGTGTCTTGCAGATACTGGGGAAATGGGGTGTGGCTGTGTGGAGATCAGAAGGTGAGGTGGGCCGCCAGACTGTGCCTCTGTAACCCAGGCTCAGAGAGTTGATCCTCCTTGACAAGCATGATGATTGATGAGTACAGAAACCAAGCAAATAACATGCAAAAGCATTTCTTTTCCTGGAGTGGGATTACAGAATTGTTTTTATACTCTTGCAAGTAATGATTAGACTTTAATTTTTTAATTATTTTAAAACATTTTTTATTTATTATTTTTATTTTATGTGTGTGCATGTAGGTAAGTGCACCTATGTTGTGCAATGCCTGTGGAGGTCAGAAAATGCTGTCAGATCCCCTGGGACTGGAGTTACAGACAGTTGTTAGCTACCATGTGCTACCGGGTGCTGGGATTCGAACCCGGGTCTTCTGCAAGAACAACCAGTGTTCTTAACCTCTGAGCCATCTCTCCAGCCCTTATTTATTATTTTTATTTTATGTGTATAAGTGTCTTGCTTGCATGTAAGTGCACCTATGTCGTGCAGTGCCTGTGGAGGTCAGAAGAGGGCACTGGATTCCCTGGAACTGAAGTTACAGACAGTTGTTGGCCATCATGTAGGTGCTGGGAACCAAACCTAGGTCCTCTGCAAGAGCAGCCAGTGCTCTTAACTGCTGAACCATCTCTCCAGCCCATCATTGGGTTTTTAAATGTGGTCCTTCCCCAAGGGCTGGGGCAGAGACGGCATGGGCAGAGGGCTATGTTCAATTCCCATTCACCAGCTGCAACCTGGGCTCTCCCTGCCAGCACTGCTGAGGTTGCAGGTGGAGTGAGCTACAGCACTCAGGCCTGTCACCTCTGCAGGCATTCCCTATCTTACCCCACCCGCAGGCAGCATTATCACAAGCCCCAGAGTGGCACTTACTTCATAGTTATGCTGTTGAAGAACCAGGAACAGAAGCCCTGGGGGGAAAGGAGAGAAATATAAGCAAAGTCAGCCCTGGCCTACCTTGCCTGGCTATGGAGACCCAGACAGCAGGGGTTATCTGGGTAGCTGAGGCAGGATCCAGGAGGAGTCCATAGAGAGAGCTTTCTGAAATGGGATAAATGCAAAGGGAGGTATCCCTTCAAAGCGAGCCAACATCTTTGCCATCCTGCTACAGGAAATGGAGCTTGGAATACAGGCCAGAGGAGTCCTATGTGGACATCTGCTGCTTCCTCTCTGTCTCTTGTTGCTTCCTTCTGAGAAATGCCCATCTCCCTCCCCCCCATACATGCAGTTCAGTGTTGCTCATCAAATAGGAGTTTACCTTCAGTAATCAGGTGCCCAGTGGGGAAATGGCCCAAAGGGGGCCAATTAAAATTCTCTTAAGAGGATGACTATGAGTGTTGGGAGAGTCTCTCTCCCTCTATGAGTGCCTGAGTGCCACGAACCCTGCCGTGTCTTGTTGTCATCTCTGATGCCTGAGATGCTTGCAGACAGCCTGAGAGTAAGGGCAGCTCAGAGGAGAGAGGACCAGAGAGGGGTCCCTATCGGCAATGCTGGACTTCCAGGATCTAGCTGGGCCTGAAGCCACTGCTTGTCTTGAATTGCCCAAAACTTGAGCCTTAAATGACCCTTTGCTGTAAAACCAGTTTGGGTAAGTTTTGGCTCTTGCATCTGAGAGTCTTGTTCTGTTGAAGATGCCTCTCTTGGATCTTGCTGTCTGGAGTTTCTGGGTAGTGGGGAAAGGCAGCCTCAGCCATGGGAAGGTTGCAGGGAGCTCCAAGAGGGAGTCAGCTTGAGAAGGCTCTCTATGAGGGTGGCTCTGAGCTGCCAGAGTTGGTAGCTGGTTAAGTGCCCTTGTGTGTTTAATTTCTTCTGGGTTCTCAAGGGTTTAGCAGAACCTCAAACGAGGTCAGAGCTCTTTATTGGCCCCATTTTGGTCATGTACACTCTTCTGTGAACCAGGTAGGTCCAAATGATTGACAAACTTCTAGAACCACAGGGATTGGAGCGAGGTCTTTCTAAAAGGAAGCAGCAAGGGCAGGCAAAAGAAAGTCTACTGCTCCCTTGGCATAAGCCCACCTTCCTTTGGATATAAAGTGACCCCTCTTCAGCTCATGTGCTGGTGATGCTATGAGACACTATTGGATCCTGAGTGTGCTAACTTCATTCATGGGTCAATCCACTGATTATCATAGGTGAATGGACTGTTGGGAGGTGGGCCTAAGTGGAAGCAGTAGGTTAGTGGGGCACGATTTTGAAGAGTATCTTTCTCCTCTCCCTACAGCACAGGAGTCAGTTGACCATAGATTGAAACCTCTGAACCTATGAATTTAAATAAATATTTCCTTTTTTAAGTTGTGACTGATACATGGTCCATAGCTGTTTAGAAATCCATAGCTGTTTAGAAAACTCAGTAACTGAACGAGGAGACAGGGAGGCAGGCACTCCCTCTCTTCTCTCCCCTGCCCAGCAAGAAAGGCCACTAGTCCCCAGGAGCTGGCTTAGCTGACATGGCTGGGTGACAGCAACAGCACAGCGGATCTCTCTCTGTCCTCATTCTCCCTTAATTATACAGGGGTAATCAAAAGTGCCCAACTTGCTCAGGGCACTCTACCGGGGCCCAGCCTGGCTAAGGGCGTTTAGAGGCCACCTGCTTGCACTTGTGCTCATGGTTTAAGAGAAACAGCATGTGCATACCATTTCCATAATGATTTAGATTTTCCTTATTTTTGCTTTTCAAACAGTCACACACTATAGCCCAGGCTGGCCTTGAACTCACTATGTAGCCTAGGCTGAGAATATATGCTTCTTTTTAGCTTTTAAGAAATAAAATAGGGCTGGAGAGATAGCTCAGTAGTTAAGAGCACTGGGTGCTCCCAGCACCCACGTGCTAACAACCATCTGTAACTCCAGTTCCGGGGATCCAACACTCTCTTGTGACCTCCTTGGGCATTGCACCTACCTATATGCAGGCAATATGCTCATACACATAAAATAAAAATAATAAAAAAAAATTTTAAAAAGAAAATAATCTGGGCTAGAGAGATGGCTCAGCAGTTAAAAGCACTGGTTACTCTTGCAGAGGACCCAGGTTCAGTTCCCAGCACCAACATGGTGGCTAATAACAGTCTGTAACTCCAGTTCCACAGGATCCAATACCCTCTTCTGACCTCTGAGAGCACTGCAATAACATGGGTGCAACTACATGCAGGCTAATAACTGTCCTTAACTCCAGTTCCAAGGGATCCGATGCCCTCTTCTGGCCTCCTCAAGCATGGCATGGAGATGGTGCACTTGCATACAGGCAGACAAAACATTCATACACATAAAATAAAAATTAAAAAAATGTTTTTCAAAGAAATAAAATAATTGCGGGGTGTGTTGGCACACACCTTTAATCTCAGCAGAGGCAGGCAGATCTCTGTGAGTTCGAGGCCAGCATGGTCTACATGGTTCCAGGCTGGGGAAGACCCTGTCTCAAAAAGACCAAAAAAAAAGAAAGAAAGAAAATAATCTTTTAATCATTGTAAAACACATGCATAGAGACACAGGCAGAGTATCTGAAACTAAGCCTGTGTGCCACCTTTCAGGGAAACTCTTACTATCTTCCTTTGACCTTGAACCTCCGAGAGTTGAAGTGACTTGCCTGAGGCTTCATGTTTTGGATGGGGCACAGCCTGGCAAAGGAGGACCTGGTCTCTTAAAGGGGTGATTAGGGAAGAAATGTGGTTCTGCTTACCACACACAATAGGTCTGTATCATGCTAATTATAGGACAGGTTGGCTTGGGTGCTAGGATGTGGGGTTGATGGGGGAAACAGACACAGGAAACTGATCACACAGATGAGGGGTCATTCCCAGCAGGGTTAAAGACATTAAAGATAAGCAATACATTCTTTATGAGTAGCAAACAGAAGATCTAAACCCATGTGGGGTGGTCAGGCCCCTAGAAAGAGGGCACCTGAGCTGCAATATGCACAAAGGCTAAGAGAACTCGGAAGAGCCACCGGGAAAGGAAGGAAGACATGGGAAAGGCTCTGTGATGGGAAAGAGGCAACACACAGTTGAGAATCAGGAGCTGGCCAACATGGTGAGGAGTCAGGAGTTGGATAAGGGCCAGAGATCAAACTGCCAGACCATGGAAGGCATCTGTAGTTGACTGAAAGAGCACTAGGAATATACCGAAGCTGAGCAATGGGGAGCCCGAGTCTCCATTCGCAGGGATGGCTCTGAATACAGGTGGAAGACAGATGGGGCAGGAGCAAGGGAGGCCCTCAAGGGATCACTTAGAGTTGCTGTCTCTTGACTGGATGGCAGGACTGATGGGGGAGGAACAGGATTGGGAAGATAAAAGCAATACAACTTGGTAAAGGAATGGGCCATGCTCAGGGATAAGGGTGGGGTGGTGATAAGAAGGGGCTGAGATCAGGGACTAGGAAAGGGTGGATGGTAGGTGTCATGGGATGTTTGGGACTATCAAATCCAAAAACTCCTTAACAGTATTCATGTGGATGTATTTTGAAGGATAAAAGGGGCAGGAGGCCTTCAGGAGTAACTTAGGGAAGACATTGAGGTAGCATTGTAGTGATGACAAGTGACATCCATATGGATGTCACAGCACAGGAGACAGGAGGCATGGAGGCAGAAAGAGGAGGCCTGGGATAGTCAGGGGACTCCAGGGGAGGAGTCTACAAAGGGAACAGAGAAGCAGAGGAAAACCCTACAAAGCATGATATAGAAACAGCTGAATGTGCTTGTTGAAGATGGATGGATGCTGGTGTGTCCAACCTTATGATATTATGGCATGACATGACACTGTCATCTACAATTGTGCTGGGCCACATTCATAGCTGTGCTGGACACATGTGACCCCCAAGCCCACAGGTTCGACATGTCTTCTGAGAGACAGACTAAGATGAGGACTGAGGAGAACTCACCGGACTTGGTGGCATCAGCAGAGGGCTGCTGATGGCCTTGAGGCTCTGGTGGAGTGATGACACACTGGAGAGGAGGTGAGAGGTAAGGAAAAGACCACTGTCTAGCCAGCTGATGGGGCTGATAGAGACAGGTACTGTGGGGGTCATGTGGGGACTTAGGATGGCTCTCTGCTCCCTCCCCTACTTCATTCATGTTCCCACTCAAATGTAATGTTCTCCTAGTACCATTTCTGATTACTGCTCATAATGTATTCCTGCCCATCCTTATCATGGGCCCTCCTAATCTGCTCTTCCATCATGCACTTATCACTGTCCTGTATGTATCTGTCTGCTTGAGCAGCATTGGTACCCATAAAAATAGGCTAAATGGAGGGCAAGAGCGGCATTCTACAGAAAAGAGAAGGAAACAGAACCTAGGGTTGTGTGGAGCAGGGCTGAGCAGGATTGAGGAAGCCTTGCATGATGGAAGAAAGGCATCTTCTATGTGAAATGGGAGTGAGTCCTTGGATCCTAGGGAAGGACAGGTCTATGACTGTGGAAAGGGACAGAGGTTTGAGAAAAGAAGTTAATTCTTAAAATTTGACAGAACTACCTGACCCTTACTTGGCACTCTGGGAGTTAGGGATGCTTAATTTTCCATCTTTCTGGTATGGAAACTGAGTCTGGGGAAGCTGAGGAATTTTTGCAATCTTACACTGCAGAAACGGACTGCCAGCCTCTGTGTCAGCCCTGCTCTATGAACCCTGCCTGCCTGCCTCTGTGTCAGCCCTGCTCTGTGCCCCCTGACTGCCTGCCCAGGGGCTAAGGTCCCTTGGGGCCCGGACCACTCCCAACACTCACCTTGTCCCTGCGTTCCATCTCCAAGGAAATCTCTGAGGGAGACGACTTCTCACTGTGCTCCCCATAGATCAGCGAGGTCAGGCTGCCAGCCAGGAAGGATGGCAGGGAGGTGGAAAAGGAGAGACAAGTTCTCAGACACCTGCCACGTTCCCTCTCTGCTCCCTGGCTGAGGGATGCTGCAGGCTTGCCTCAGTTCCCTCAGAGCTGCAGGCATGCCTCAGCTTCTTTGCTGGGCACACGGCTCTGGGCACAGACAGCACCAATTTGGCTGCCAGATGCATAATGTACCTTGGGAACCCAGCCATGAGTTCCAGAAAGTCTTAAGACCAGAGAAAAACATGGCTTTGTGCCCAGAAATGGTTGCCTTCCAAGTTTCTGTCCTTCAGGGAGGGCAATGCAGGGGCAAAAGCAGCAGACAGGATGCCACCTGCTGAGGAGACACCTGCTGCAGCTTCAGCACCAGGCAGCGTCTCCCATGAGGGGCTCACAATCCTCCCCCGCCACAGCTCTTACCTGTCATTGTGTATCAACAGTGCCAGGCGCCCATAGTCCCATGCTGCTTTCCGGAGGAAGGAATAAACCAGGAGGACGAACTGCAGAGCCAGAAAAGCAGCATGGGTCAGGAAGTTCATAGATGCCTTCTGTGCTAGCCCCCGGCATTCCCATGGGAACACCCTCTCCCTCAAGTCTGTAGTATGCTCCCCCATCAGATGATAAGGTCAATGGTCTTGGGAGGAGCCATCCCTTTCAACTGGGCATTTCTAGCCTCTAGTAGCTTCTTGACACCGAGTGGATGGTCAGTGGAGGAGCTGAGGGTGTGCTTGTTTAGAGCAATGAGACAAGAAAGCAACATGAAGATATCAGCAAGGAGACAGAGGAGGCCCAAAGTCACTAGACAAATGGGCTTTTCCTTGATGGTATACAGAGAGAACCCCCAGGAATACTGCCTGTTCCTCTAGTTCTAGTACCCTGAGGCCCTCCCACCTGAGTCACCTGAACAGGACCAACACTCAGGTAGTTCACATCACTATAGCTGGTATCCTTGGTTAATTGGGACCTCACTTGTCACAATCCCACAGTCCACCCTGGTTAATACCATTCTGTATCTCTCTCACAGTGCCCAAGACTTACCACCCACAAGATGATGTTGAGTAGAAGCACAGTGGGGATCCCCCCGAAGGGCTGCCCCTGGAGAACAGTGCTCCGGGACTGAAAGCACTCGTTCACTGTCATATTATGAAATGTTGGGCCCAGACTCATGCCCTCTGGAGAAAGAGACATCCTGGGCACACTCAGGCTCCCAGGTGGGCGGAGGGTCCCAGTCGGATGCAGGGACTGCTCCCCACTCTGCAAAACATAAAAGGCTGCTGGGGAGTTCTTGGTCAAGCACTGAGGGCACCAGCCAGCTAGATAGGGGTGTATGAGATGCAGGGAGGGACCAATGTTGGTTTTGGAGCTGGGTCATCAAGGCAAAAGAGTCGGCCATTCAATGGCACCAGACAGCCTGTGAGATTACAGCCAGGCTATGCAGACAGAATAGCTCTGATTCCCTGAAAGAATTCTTTCTGTGTACTGCTTGACCCTTTCAAAAAGAGCTATAAAATGCACCTCCAACTCCAATAACATCTTCCTGTTGCTCTCTTTAAAAAATATTTTATGGGATGGAGGGATAGTGCAGCCATTAAAGGCTAAGGCTGACAACCAAAATGTAAAAAATATTTTATTTTTATTATCTTAATTTTATTTTATGTGTGAGTGTATTGCTTGAATGTATATCAGTGCACCTGTGTTGTGCGATACCCTCTGAGGTCAGAAGAGGGTGTCGGATCCCCTGGAACTGGAGTTATAGACAGTTGTTAGTTGCCATGTGGGTGCTGGGAACTGAACCCAGGTCCTCTGCAAGAGCATCCAGTGCTCTTAACCACTGAGCCATCTCTTCAGCTCCTTCCTGCTGCTCTCTTGTGAAGATTTTCTTGTATAGAAATTGACACATTTCTTGGGCTGTGTATGGGCAGGGGATGCACAGGAACCTATGGAGGCGAGTGGCTGGTCTGAGATGATTTAGGCTTTAAACAATCCTTTTGACTGAGTGAGGGACAAATAAGCCAAGAAAAGAGAGGACCTTCAGGATTCAGGTAGGAGGCAAAGGCAGCCTAGGCAGGGCTGGCTGTAGTCGGGTGGTGAGAAACATCTAGACACTTTGAACCTGGAGCCAGTAGGAGTTAGAATGAGAAGAGTTAGGATGATTCCGAGGTTTTTTCGGCCCAAGCAGAAAAAAATTGGATATGCCATGACTGAATGGAAACATGGAAAGAGCAGAGCTTATAGAGCAGAGGACGGTGGCAGCCGATGGTTTACTTGGACAGGTTAGGGAGCTGTGGACATGGAGACACCAACATGAGACAAAAGCCACCAGAGGCATATCTGGGGCAAAGGTCCTGACACTGAAGGGAGGGAAGAAAAGAAAGGGTCAAGGTAGGAGTCAGAGACTGGGGGACAGTTGTTAAGAGTCTCAAGGAAAAGTAGTTGGATGTCTAGGCTGACACCACCACCCAAAACAGGGGCTTCAGTGGGGAGAAAGGAAGAAATGTCCAGAGGTTGCAGAGAAGTAAAAACAAACAAACAAACAAACAAACAAAAAAAACCCAGCTTCCCCACCTCAGGCCAGTGTAGGGGAGAACAGCTGTTCTGAGGCTGGTCCAAGGGAATCTGGACTCCATTCCCTAGGGAGGTGGTGCGGCTGAGGAGCCAGAGTGCTCCTACATTTTATGGACTCTGTGACACTGGATCCTAGCTCTGACACCCCATGCCCAGTGACCTTGAGCAAAATAATGTTTCCATGCCTCATTTTCTCATCTGTCAAATGAGGATGGTGACAGACTGACACTCTTCACAGGGCTTTTGAGAGGAGTGAGGAAATTAAGATTTGTGGATCCTACAGAGCAATGCTTGGAACTTGGGAAGCAATGCATAAAGTTTGTAAGAGGAAGAGTCGATGTGGAGTCCCAGGGGGCCCAGGGCTATCATCTAGGAGTTGGTGGGGGCGGATTGGGGGCCTGAATGGAGAAGGAAAGGAAGACAGGAAATGAAGTGGTCTGGGAGCCTGGGGCCTCTTGGGCTCACTCACAAAAGTGGGGATAAGACCATGTCTCAACCTTAGTCAGAGAAGCTTTGTTTTATAGTGGACAGCAGTCAGAGTCTCATCACTGGCAAAAGTACTAAGAATAAGTGACGGTTGACTTCTCAGCTCTACATGGCACATTTATATCAACACCCCCTTCTAAGACTCAGGGAATATTGCAGAAGAGGGGACAGAAAATAATATAAGTGCCAGGGAATGGGGATGAGTGCTGTGAAACACTGTCTTCTAGACATGATATGGTCATTGCATTCATGAACTCACAGTAGCTATGGTTACCTGTGCAAGACCTACACAGGATCAAGCCACTCAGCATCCTACCATTCTAGCTTAGAGACTCTCCTTCTAGCTGAGGGAGATGCTATTGGCATGATTGCTATTGGCAATCGATGACTTCTGGAGAAGGAGTCATCTTTCTTCAGGGGTGTTTCTGCTGGTAGGTTGCCCATGCTCTGGTGAGTGGCCCCACACCCATGCACATGTGGGAAGCACAAAATGGACTCTGTGGGTTATTAAAAATAGAAGACACGGGGCTGGAGGGATGGCTCAGTGGTTAAGAACACTGGTTATTCTTGCAGAAGACCCGGGCTCAAATCCCAGCACCCACATGGCAGCTAACAACTGTCTGTAACTCCAGTTCCAGGGACTCTGATAGCCTCTTCTGTCCTCTGTGGGCATTGCACGACACAGGTGCACTTACCTACATGCAGGCAATACACGCATACACATTAAAAAAATAATAAATAAAATAAAAAAATAGAAGACATTCATACAGAAGGGGGGAGTTTTGAGGGGCCTAGAGGGAGTGGGGAGTTTTAAGTGATATATGATGAAGATACATTGTGTACATGTATGAAACTATCAAATAATAAACAAAAATATTTGGGTCTGGAGAGATGGCTCAGTGGTTAAGAACATTTGCTGTTCTTCCAGAAGACCTGGGTTTGATTCCCAGCACCCACATGGCAGCTAACAACCATCTGTGACTCCAGTTTCAGGGGGTCCAACACCCTCTTCTGGGCCTCTGCATTGTATGCACGTGGTGGACTTAGATTCATGAG